GTGGGAAAATAGAGAAAAAAAAGGGAGGAATACATACAGAAACAAGAGAGCAATTATCATGACAGCAGGGAACAAGCAATACAATAGAAAATTAAATTTGTATAGTGCCTTTCATGTTGGGAGGACATCACAAGCAGTCTCTTCTTCGAACAACGCATTACATCATACATGGGAAATAGCAACCATAGTTGGCATTTTGCTTTTGCACTTAGTTTCCAGATGAGAAGAGACTTGCAACGATGTTCGGAACGCAAAGTGCCAACCTCTTATTGGCCTTTCTCAACTTTCCTGTGAGCTGTTGCAGGCTCGATGGGCAGAATGATCTCTTTCTGTGCTGCAGATTTCTATGATTTTAATGTGAAAATAGTGATGTGTTGTAATTAATACATCAAATCTGGCTGATTGAATATTATATTTCAGACCCTACAACGGAAACTCTTGCTCCATAAAACAGAAAATTAGACTATGGAGGAAACTTGAAAGTGTTTAACATTTATCAATGACTTCTGAATAATTGAAGAAATTGTCAGAGCTAAATTCTTACTCATAAAGCTCCTCTGCTTGCCAGAAAATACAGTTAGGAACATAGGAAAGTGTTGGACCAGAAAAAAAAATCACTGTGGTCCATCTAGTTATTCCCAAAGCAAAACTAAATAAAATAACTAATAATCATACACCACTCAATTTCTCATGCCCTTCAAATGATTTTCTTTCAAATTGCAACCTTATTTCCTCCTATATTTTCTGGCACCTGTCACTCTCCATCGCTTTTCTGGGTAGTCAATCCACTTCACATATTCACCACTCTCTGTGTAAAGTAATTAAATGAGTTCATCCTCATTCTCCTGAACTCGAGTTCACATTCCCTTTATGTGGACGTTTGACCATTTAAAAATATTATTAGAGTTTAGGTTAGTTTATCAGTTGCATTGCCTACAAATACAGTCACTATTCTTTGAGACATTTCAATGAGGTAGTAAGGTACTATATCAAATATCTCTATTATTATTATACTAGCTGTACCCCTTGGAGCTATGCTAGCAACCAAAGGATCCAGAATGGAGCGTAGATTTCAGTGAAACCATTCACTTGATATGCCATAAACACTGTGTTTATATCTTAATCAAAACTGCTGTACATGTGTGATGAGTTTGTTTAGGTTGTAGCTCATTAACAATAGGAAATTCCATCCCACAAATATGCCCAGGACACTCCCCCTGAAAGACCTATTTGATGAGGTATAAACCATGTCTCTATGTCAATCTGTTATTGGGTTCCTGGTAGGCAGACACACAGACATTTTGTCTTTATTAGTATAGATTATGGCTTCATTGTCAACAAGCAAATTGAAGTGCAGAATGTGACATTTTAATAAAATCATGGAATAAAGTTTGACATTTTCATTGCATGTTCTTCATATTAACCCATCATGAAATATTTTTCCTCTGAATCTTTCCACAATATATATTTAAAATTGCTTTTGAAATTGCAAGGGGATGCAAATTTTAAATATACAATGGTATTTTGTATTGAAAATAATTGTCTTGTTTTAAAAGATCAGCACATTAACCGGGAGTGGTGTGTAGGGGATAGATAATAATAAGTTGAAATAGCGTTGGTAAATTCAAATTGTCTCAGGATACTTCACGGTTAATTGCTGTTAATTATAGTCACCATATTCAACAACAACAACTTACATTTGTATAGCATCTTTCATGTCGGGAGGACATTCATCGCTGTGCCCTGTACTCACCCTTGTGTAGCTCATTGTTTTTTTTATTTAACTGAGTGGAGACCTATCACCATGCTTAAGAGTATCCAAACCAAACTAAGAGTTCCATATATTCCACTTACATATGGAAATTCCCTGTGTCTGGAATGGAATGTTCACTCTTTTCTCAGAGGGAGGCACCCTGGTTATCTAATTCCGGAGTGTATTGGGTTCAGGATGATATGGCTTGGGAACCCCAGAGTGTGCGTCGGAGGCACTAATGGGGTTTAATTAGCTAAAATTGTATTGTTTTTACATTTATTAAGTACATATATTTATTAATATATATTTATCAAACATATATTTATTATATTATTTATATATTAATTATATAATTTTACATTCATATATGTATTAATTATTCATTTTGCATTTTTTAAATACAACGTGATAAGATATTATACCAAACGTAAGGATTATTTATTATAGCTTGCTATTGAAAGCAATGTTTGGCAAGCTTCCTGCTGCATGGCCAGCAAAGGCCAAACCCATTCATTAATGTTTGGATTTGTAAGGTTTAAAGGATCTTAGTGAGAAGAATCCCTACCCCCAGTGTCTGGTCCTGCCAAGGATCCACCCTGTAGTGCAGACCCCAACCCCCATCCCCCAGGGTTAGCTTGACTCCAACATTCTGAGACCCCCCCAAGTACCCATCGCTCCCCCAATCCCCCCCTAAGGAGGATTGCAAGATCATTATCAGACATAAATAGTTTGAATACAGATACTATTAATGAAATATGTCACTAATATTTTGACCTTGAATTAAACCTGGGGAGGGGGAGGATGGAAAGATGCGACTGAAAATATGATCGCTGCGCTATTGAAAATGAACTGCTGCAACGCTGTGACAGGCAATTATAGTAAGCAGCAGTCCTAATGATGGGTTATAAAACTTTCAAATGAAAGGTTAATTGGTTATTGGAAGCCCTCTATGGCCAGTTTAGCAAGCTATATTATGTTATTTTCTGCCATTTTTACTCAGAGAGGGTTCAACACAATATAAGTGGATGTGGTCCCATTCGCAATTTGAAAAACCCAGATGGGGGAATTAGGAATATAATAAATGAAATTAAACCTGGGCATGGGACTCAGCATAGAGATATGCCCACATGCAATAGAAATTTCAAAATAAATTTATGGATTAGGTTGCTTTTGAATGTGATGTTTTATGGATGGATTGTGAATTTGAAAGGATTATAATCCCTTTGGTATTTAAACCTGATTTCTGTTCATGCGAAAGCAGAGCTTCTTGAGAGTAAATGGAATCAAGGAACTTGAAGTGGAGGTCTCTGCAATTGTCCCAGTAGATCTACTTCCATGAGATGCCAGAGATATCAGAAGAGGTATCAACCTATTCAATTGTTGGATTGAAGTCTTAGGGGAAGAGTCATACACCAGGATGGCATCTGCATATAGATTGATTTTTCTGAGTATAAATGAAGTTAAAGTTAATATTTTGGGGTAGAATCTAATCACAGCAGCTAATGCCACTTATTAAAATAAAAATAGTGATACAGGATATCAGTCACATGCTCCATTCCCTACTCAATGGCTTAGAAATCAGCCCGCTAATTGTCACACAAGCTTTCTGGGCTGTTTATATGAACTTCATTGATTATTTACCATGTCCAACTGATGGCTGATGTTTTTGAATATACAAAATCCACGCATCAGCTTTATCCTATCCTACGCCACATTTCCTCGTTCTTAGTTCTCACTTTGATATATCATTCACAAAGTTGGTTTGCAACAGAACTGTTCTTGACTATCTGATCACAGTGCATAATCATGCAAGTCCATAATGAACAGACTGTTGTATTACACAGGCAAACATATTTTATCATTTTGAATCATAGGTAATAATTTTTTTCAAGGATAAAGTGACCATTCCTCTGAAAAGGGCTACTCAGATGATTATATTTTTGTTTTTGTTTCAGACGATCAGATTGTTGCAAAACAGTCAAATCCATTTCAGTATTTTGCAATAATGTGACATTTCTAATCCTATATTAAAATTTCATGAGTTTCATTTCACCCTAAATATCCTTTCTGTGAACTGAAATAATATTTGGTTTGCCTGACAGGCCTACATTGTAGTTGAACTGTATTCGCCCAATACATAGAGTGATCATAGAGGAAGTGTGTTCATCGATGTTCTACTGTGTCTGAGCACAGACAATAATGTTGCATTGAATACAATCGTATGAAAGATATGTTCTCTGTTATTAATTGATGTTGATGATTTATTTCAAAATTGCTGTTTGCTTGATACATGAAGAATCAAATTGAGCTGCTTGTGCATAAAATAAATAGATTTTAATCTGTTGAATTAGTCAAGTGCTTTCACTGGAAATAAATTTAAAATAAAATATTTAAAATATAACAAGCATACTGCCAATGTCATTAATTTCCACACTGCACCACTGTTAGTTTGCGGCTTAAAATCATGTGTTTACTCTTGGAAAAGTTATCATGATTCACTGTGTCCAAGGTATGTGCCACTTGCATGGCTGAAACAATTTCTGAATATATCATCAACAATGAGATAGCTCCTATTTGTCATGCATTTTCCCACTGCTTCCCATAATCTTGCTTCATAAAACCTGGAGGTTTGGTTGTCTCCAGAGACCACTGCTTGTGCTGCAGACAAAATAATTTGCTTGAAACTTCCAATGTATCAACATACCACTTGTGTATTCCAAAACATATTACAAATTCCAAATATCTTAAGATTTAAAGAATTTCAACTGACATTCATCCCCTGTCTTATGGTAATGATTTTTGCATTTAATATAGCACCATTCAGGTCAGGAGGTCATCTCAAAATATATCCTGCAAAGGTTATTGATTGTGTATCTGTAGATGAACTCAGAGGCTCTTTGGGATATAGCCTTGTTCTATAAACATCCATGAAAATTAACAATTGTATTTGTGGATTGTTGGCCAGTAGCTGAGAGAAACTCCCTTAGCTATTTGAATAGTACACGGGATCTTTAACATCAAACTGGACAGACAAATTGGACCATGATTAAACTTCTCAACCTAAGGACGGAATCTTCCACAATGCGACATAACCCCAACACCTCACTGGAGGGTCAGTCAGACTATATGAGTTCAAAATCCTGATGTGGGCCCTGAACAGAACACTTAATGTCTCAGAGGTGAGAGTGCTACCAACTGAGCCAGGCTTACAGACATGCTGTGTTTTCTTGTTGCAGAGTAATTCACACTGATGTTGGAGATGTGCTAATTACAGCAGCAGAGACCAGTGAACTAAAAATGACAGTGGATGTGACAAACAGGTCAGCTCCTTAACTCCTTTATCTCTTGGGTGTCACGAAAGCAGCTGGTGTGAGAATCAAATTTCATCAATATTCATTTGGAATTTCTCAATCTAATTAAGATTCCTTAAATTAGAAATAGATCAGGTCACTTAACATCATTATAAGCATTCGCCTTACTTTTTATCCCCAGACATACAAAAGTTGATGATCCCTAAAGTCATTCAGAGGCAAATATCCACAGCAGCCCTCTTTCCTTATGTGCCTTATAGTAATTGACATTGTCAGCAAGGGATCTTCCATTCTTGTTGACATTGAACTTACAGTCAATTATGAATGTATTTTGCAAGCGCTCTGGGATGTGACCCTGTGTAAGTTGTGCTATATAAATGTTGTTGTTATTGTTGTATTTATTTTTTACTGGGGCCTGTTCCTCAACGCCAAGGCAACCCTATTCGAATTCCCAGCCTCAAAAACCGTCAAACATTACCATTAAAACGCAGTGCAAGCAGAAATGCTGTCTGTTTCTTTACAGGTTCATGACCAAAGATCAATTCACTAGATGAACTTCATGGATCCAGCCCATACATTAACCAAGTCTCTACTTGTTCCTTGCCTAAGTTGAGAACCAATGTGAAAATGCACCCCTGGCATATAATGGGTGAATACCGTTCAATGTACAAAAGATCCATTTCTTTGTGGCTGCAGCTGCAGTGACATTGTCATTCACACACTGAACACATCTCAGAGCTACTTACCTTATCAGGTAATTAAATCAAAATCAATTAAATCAAGCAGTCCAATTAAAGTTGGGAATAAACCTCTTGGTTTCATAAACAAACACAGTCTAAGTGCACCTGCATAAACATGAAGAGGGGAGAAATTCCACCTGGCTCTAGTTTTGCTCTATGTATGCAGCATTTCAGAGTGTCCTAGAATTTGGCAAATTCTTAAATTCAGTCTTAACATTGAATTTGTGAGCAGTGCTTACAGCAGGAACTGGCTTCAAAGTTAAGAGTGTGTTTAAACAATTGCCAATTTCTGGAGCCTCTCAGATGCTAAGAAAATAGAGTAAATCTAGAGCCAGATAAAATTTATTTCCGTAGTAAGGATGGATCCAGCATTCACGGCCTTTTGGGGGAGAGAATTCCAGATTTCTACCACCCTTTGAGTGAAAAAATTTAAGATTTCACTCTTAAATGCCCTGATTCTAATTTTAAGACTATGCCCCTTGTTTTGGATTCTTCCACCAGAGGAAATAGCTTCTCTGTATCTACCCTATCAAATCCCTTTATCATCTTAAATACCTCAATTAAATCACCCCTCAACCTTCTGAACTCAAGGGATTACAATCCAAGTTTAGGCAGCCTTTCCTCGTAACTTAACCCTTTAGGCCTGGTAACATTCTGATGAACCTGCACTGCACCCCCTCCAGAGCCAATATATCTTTCCTGAGGTGTGGTGCCCAAAACTGAACGCAGTACTCCAGATGGGGTCTGACTAATGCTCTGTACAGCTGAAGCATAATTTCTTCCCCTTTGTATCCCAGGCCCCTTGAGATAAAGGTCAACATTCCATTCACCTTTTTGATTATTTTTTGCACTTGGGAACTAGTTTTTAGTGATTTGTGGATATCGACACACAAACCTCTTTGCTCCTCCACAGTTCTTATTTTTTCCACATTAAGAAACTATTCTGCTTTATCTCTTTTAATCCATAGTGGAAGACCTCACACTTCTTTACATTGAAGTCCATCTGCCACAGCTTTGCCCACTCACTTAATCTGTCTAAATCCGTTTGTAACTTCCTACTCCCATCTGCACAACTTACTGAGCCTCCTAGCTTAATGTCATCTGCAAACTTGGATATAAAACTTTCCATTCCTTCATCCAAGTCATTTATATATATGGCAAATAGCTGGGGTTCCAGTACAGACCCCTGGGGGACAGCACTTGTCATGTCCCACCAATCAGAGAACGTCCCTTTATCCCTACTCTGTTTCCTGCCTCCCATTTTACTGACATTTTGCAAAATGTCAGTAAAATGGGACAAAACTAACAGGGTGGAAGGCAAGGATAATGCATGTTAATACAGACTAGTCAACAAAGATGAATTAGTTGTGCCATCTTTACCATCAAAACACCTATAACACCTAGATTTCAACAGTTGCCTGCCTTTAACAATCCAAACACCCACCAGCACAATGCACACACCTTGCCCAGAGCCACAAACTTGACCTCAACTACATGCAGTATTTAGGTAGAGGTCAACCAATCATGTGCATTTTTAATCCCTTCCTCTTCCCAGATCTTGTTCTGTTTAAAGTTCAAACACTGGCTTCCTCTGTAAAACCTGAATGTCTCACCCGAAAGATAGCACCTTCAACAATACGCACCTCAGCATCACATTAATGTCATGTCACATTTTCCCTAATATGTTCATAAAGGGCATTCAATTTCAATCCTCCTGTGCTCATCTGTCTACTTACCCAATTTTCAAAGTCAGCCAGCTCCTGCATTAATGAGGGCCAGTCTGGGAGTATGCCAACACCACTGTTACTGCCAACAATGATAAGGAGGCGGGAACACCTGCCCACTTTCCATTCTGAAATTTTCTCACCAGCTTGTCAAAGTTCACAAAAATGCTTGGCCAGATTATCAATGAGGTATCTCAAATTTCAAATTAAACCTGTTTCTCCAGCTGCCAGGGTAATCTTTAAAGACAGATGGCTTTAGAGGTGAGAAGTCTAACAGAAAGACATCCCTCACCATACCTCAAAGACACTTCCTCTTTCCATTAGTCACCAGTTCCTGTCAAAATCCTTTCTAGATTGTCTTGTGACTGTTTCAGCCCAATGCTCCATGTTGGTTATCTGATGGGTGATTCTTTTATACAACATATCTTGATTAGAATTTGGTAATCAAAATGGTAATAATAAGAAGAAATAAGGTATATTATAGCAATCTGTCACATTCAATCTAAATGGGTCTCACAAAGAAATGCCACTCAGTGTTAAATGTGAAGATATTATCAATTTAAGACAAGTGCAAAGCACGTTTGTCAAGAAAGCAAATATCTCTTGGCAAACTACAATGAATTTAGATTCAGCCCAATATCCATCAAAATGAATTTAAATAGCAATTTCTCTTCACCAATATCAGAGACAATACAAGTCAAACGAATGCTCTTTAATGAGGTAATATTTTCAGACAACAACAAATTAAATTTGTATAGCACCTTTCACGTCGGGAGGACTTCCCAAGGACTGGACAAGCAGTGCTTCGACCCGAGCTGGGGGTCAGGATCGGGAAGGGAGGAAGGCAAGGGGGGACAGAGTGTGATCGAAGGCATGATCGAATAGGAGGGTCTTGAGATGCGTCTTGAGGGAGGCAAAGTAGTGGGCAAGGCAGAGGGACTATGAGATGGAGTTCCAGAGGGTGGGGCAGAGTGGCTGAAAGCCCGCCTGTCAATGGTGAGCTGGGCGAGGTGAGTGACGTGAAGCATGCTGGAGAGAGCGAGTGGGTTGGTAGGGGGTTAAGAGAGGTAAGGGTGAGCAAGGCATGAAGGGCTTTGAAGGTGAGGACCAAGATCTTGAACTGTATCCTCTCTGTAATGGGAAGCCAGTGGAGTCGGGCGAGGATGGGGGTGATAGGGTCGCGGAGCCTGGTGCGGGAGAGGACACAGGCTGCAGAGTTCTGGATGATTTGCAGCCTATGGAGGGAGGAATTAGAGGCTGACAAGCAGGGAGTTTTTATAGTCGAGCCTGGATGTTATGAATGCATGTATGAAGGTCTTGGTGTCCTGCGGTGTGAGACAGTGGTGAAGCTCGACAATGTTGCAGAGGTGGGGGAAGGCATAATGGGTCATGGCACGGATGCTGGGTAGAAAGAATAGTTTAGGGTCAAACAAGATGCCAAGGTTCTGGACTGGCTCAGTGAGGTGGAGTGTGCATCCTTGAATGGTGCTTGAAAATAGCATACGAAAATAGCCATGATGTTTGTTCTGGTCATTTTCCAAATCACATCAATCTTTTCTTGCGATGCTCTTGCCTCTTCCCCCCACCACACATTTATTTTTTATAGATTTATCACTATCCAGATCCTTCTGTGTTTGGCCCACTGTTGCCCATCAACAATAACAATCAGATTCGGTTTTCTCAACAAATTTGGTGAAATAGGTACCTGCTTCCAATCTGATGCAGCTCCGTAAACCATTAACCTTTGTTTTCCTTTGATTTAGTCCGTTACAGATCCACTTTAGATATTCCTTTCAACCTTATGCTTTGACCTCTTAACAAAATATCCAATGAGTTCCCCCTATTCATTCAATCATTTTTTTGCTTTATCAGACATGACATCCTTCCCACAAAGCTATGCTGGCCCTTTCTTATCAGTCCATATCTCATTTGGTTCTTCATTATCCTCTCATTAAATATTTTACTTTCAACACTTGTCAACACTGACCTTTAACTTGCAGGATAATGTCTGACCTTTCCTGGAAATGGTCATTACATTTGCTTTCGGGTGGTGCTCAGGTACACCTGTTTCCAATGGCTGCCTGAAGTTACTTCAATGTTGTAATCTATATTCTGACATATCTTTGAGTGAGGCTCATTATCTTTTTGATTTTCAATCTGTCCACCACTTCCTTGTTAGTGATCACTATTCCTTTTAACAATTCCTCATTTCACCCCGTAACTGGTCAGGCAACCCCCTAACAAACAGGCTCTGTCCTTGGTCTCCTCCTTTTCAACATTTACATGCTCCCTCTTGGTGACATGATCCCTAGACATGGGATCAATTTCCACACGTATCCTGATGATATCCAACTCTATCTCTCCACCTCCACCCTTGACTCCAGCACCACTGCTGTCCTCACAAACTGCCTGTTGGACATCAAGTCCTGGATGAAAGCACCGCAGACATGGAGTTAACTTCCACATGTATGCGGATGACACCCAACTCACCTTTCCTCCTCTACTCTCAACTCCACGACCACCGATGTCCTGACAGCTGCCTGTCCGACATCGAGTCCTGGACGAGAAACAACTTTCTTCAGCTCAACGTGCGAAAAACCGAGTCCCTCCTGATTGGCTCACATCAGCGCCTCCGCACCTCAGGCGCCGACACCATCAGCATCCAAGGCTGCACTCTCCACCTCTCAAAGCCAGTCAGGAACCTTGGCGTTTTGTTCGACCCTGAGCTGTCCTTTCTCCCTCACATCCGCACCACAACTGGCACCGCCTTCCATCACCTCCGGAACATCGCCAGACTATGGCACTACCTCACCCCTCACGCTGCTGAAACCCTGGTCCACGCCTTTGTCACCTCAAGGCTGGACTATGGGAACTCTCTCCTCGCCGGCCTTCGTGGCACCTCCCTCCACAAGCTGCAGGTCATTCAGAACTCTGCAGCTCGTGTACTGTCCCGCATCAGGCTTCGGGACCACATCACTCCCACCCTCGCTCGCCTCCACTGGCTCCCCATCCCCCAGAGGATTGATTTCAAGATCCTCATCCTCACCTACAAGGCCATTCACGGCCTTGCTCCCTCCTACCTCTCCGACCTACTATCCCCCTACCTACCTGCCCGTACCCTCCGTTCCTCCGGCTCCAGTCTGCTCCACGTCCCCCGCCCCAATCGCCCTACCATCGGTGGTCGGGCCTTCAGCCTCTCAGCCCCTAGGCTCTGGAACTCTATAACCCAGTGCCTTCGCCTTGCTTCCTCCCTCTCCTCCTTCAAGGCCGGTCTCAAAACCTTTCTCTTTGACCGAGCCTTCAGCTCCCCTCTCGACTCTCTTCCCCCTCCTCGCTCCCTCCCTTCCCTCCCCTCACCCTGACCATTTCCCCCCTCCTCGCTCCCTCCCTTCCCTCCCCTCACCCCGACCATTTCCCCCCTTCTCGCTTCCTCCCCTCCCCTCACCCTGACCCAACTGTGCAGCGCCTTGGGACGTCCTCTTGACGTGAAAGGCGCTTTATAAATGGAATCTTGTTGTTGTTGTTGTTGTTGAGTGTCAACAAAACTGAAGCCCTGCTGCTTGGCTATCATCAGCACCTCCATACCTTGGGCACTGACAGCATCAACCTTCATGAATGCATTCTACACCTCATGGAGCCAATATGGAACCTTGGCATTCTGTTCAACCTTCAACTGTACTTTATTCCTCATATCCATGTCATGACCCATTCTGCCCACCTCCGTAACATTGTCCGGCTTCGCCACTGTCTCTCACCACAGACACCGCAATGCTTGTCGGTCTCCCCAACTCCTCCCTCCACAGGCTGCAGATCATCCAAAACTCTGGAGCTCACATCCTCTTTCGCACCAGGTTCGATTCCTGGCAGGGCAAAACCTTGGGCTAGTTTCCTTACCCCAACAACAACAAGATTACATTTGTATAGCACCTTTCACGTCGAGAGGATGTCCCAAGGCGTTGAAACTCCATATGCTTGATAATAATGCTTTGGGAAAATAAATAAAATAATAATTTGGTCACTCAATCCACGACTGTTTGTGAAACACTGCTGTGCGCAATTGGCTGCCCACAAATATACAGTCAATTCACTTTACAGTATATTCTGTGAAGCACTTTGAAACATCTAGAAAAGCGCTATATCAAATGCAAGAATTATTATTATTATCATAGAGAAGATGAAGATTTACAGCTAGTTCCTTGCTCTTCATCCAGAAAATAAATTGATTCTTTTTTCCTATTTGGCATCAACTCTTGTTTTCCTTATTTGCAATTTTCTGATTCAACAGATACACCTCTAATCCTGCAAACACAGAAACTTGGAATTTTATCCAAGGAATGGTTTCAACAGTTCAGTTGAGAAAACACTTCAAGTGATTTGGAAATAAACAATAGTTTAAATAATCCATGCATCATCCTAGACCAGTTGATAGCACTATTGGCTTTAAATCAGAAGATTATGGGTTCAAGCCTCATGTAAGGAATACAGTGGACTGTTGGGTGGTTGGTGGGTGGGGGCAGTTCTGTATTCCTGAGTTACCACCTTTCAGATAAGATGTTAAAATGAAATCAATCATATCTGCCTATTCAGGTGGACATTAAAGATCCCTTGCTACTATTCAAAAAAGAAACAGAGTTTCTCTCAGGATCCTACCTATTTAAGGAGCTGCTAATAATCTTATCTTTTGTTCTACATTAACTTTTTATATTATGCAACCTAATCACTTGTAACAGGTAAGAACGGTTATCTGTTTACCTAGCAATAAGTAGGAACCCGGTTGTTAGTCGATTGGCGGATCGTTTTTCCGGGGTAATAATTCATTCAAAAAAATTGGTCACTCAATCCATGACTGTTTGTGGGACACTGCTGTGTGCAATTGGCTGCCGCCTTTTGCCCACAAATATACAGTCAATTCAATTTACAGGATATTCTGTGAAGCGCTTTGAGATCTCTCAAAGACATGATAAGGCACTATATGAAATACAAGGATGATTATTATTCTTGACCTAATAGCATACAAAATTGAGCGGAACAATGCTCAGAAAATGATTAAGATCGACCAAGAATCCTGAAATTATTTTTCAAATATTAAGGTAATTAAAGATTTTGTGACTGCTGGTTAAACGTTTGAGTAGATTTTATTTATCCTTAAGGTATTAACTTGACTTTTCACACTACTTTTCCCAAGCTCCTCTCCCCCCACCTCCCCTCTTAATACGTGTATATTGTAAACAAGATGTGATTCTGGCAAAGGCCAAAGGCTTTAAAGAACAATTGTTAATTAAACAGTCAATTATTTCCCGAGGGAAATTGTTCATTTACTTAGTCACTGTTTGAAGCTAGACCCAGAGCTACAGACAACTGTTCAGAATGCTGATAAACTAAAGATCTATTAGTTGAGGTAATTAATTGGATTTAGATAACTTTTTGAAGGTTCAGAAAGGATGTGCAGCTGATATATTCACAAAATACAATTCAGCAGGGTGATGAGTGCTTTGGGCAAGGACACAACTATGCAACACTGGTGATAACATCGAGAACTCCTGTTGGGACTGGAAATGGTAAACACTTTCCTTATCAGAATATTAGGGCAAAAAAAAATAGAATCAAAGAGGTATACAGCACAGAAGAAGACCATTCGGCCCATTTTGTCCATGCCGGCTCTTTGAAAGAGCTATTCAAATCAATCCCACTGCCCCCTCGCCAATGCCTTGACATCCTTCCTAAAGTATGGTGCCCAGAACTAAACAGTACTCTAGCTGAGGCCCAACCAGTGCTTTATAAAGGTTCATCATAACTTCCTGACTTTAGTATTCTATGCCCCTATTTATAAAGCCTAGGAACCCATATGCTTTTATAACAGCTTTATCTACCTGTCCTACCACCCTCAAAGATTTGCTTACGTGGAGCCAGAGGTCTCTGTTCCTTCACCCCTTTAAGATTATACTTTCTAATTTATATTGCCTCTCCTCATTCTTCCTTCTAAAATGCATCACTTTGAATTTATCCGCATTAAATTTAATCTGGATATGACTGCCCATTTTATCAGTCTGTCTATATTCTCTTGCAGTCTGCTACTATCCCCCTCACCATTTACTATACTTCCTACAACAACAACAACTTGGATTTTTATAGAGCCCTCCACGCCGGACGGCGTCTCAGAGCACTTCACAGTAACGAATCCCGAGCCAGGGGGAGGGGGAGGAAGGTGACCAAAGGTGCGGTCGAAAAGAAAGGTCTTCAGCCGAGACTTGAAAGTAGGAAGCGAGGGGACGAGGCAAAGGGAGTGAGGAAGGGAGTTCCAGAGCCTCTGGGCAGAGTGGCTGAAGGCACGGCCGCTGATGGTGGAGTGGAGGTTTCGGGCGACAAGGAGGAGGCCAGACCTGGTGGAGCGAAGGCAACGGGCACTGTTGTGAGGAGAGAGGTGGTCAGAGAGGTGGGGGGAGAGGAGTGGAGGGCTTTGAAGACAAGGGTGAGGAGCTTGAAGTCGATCCTCTCTGGGGCAGGCAAGGACTAGGATAATCGGATAGCGGAGTTTACAGTGAATGGGATCAAAGGCCTTTCTCTGTATTGTCTGTAAGGACACTATTATAGAATTATACAGCACAGAAGGAGGCCATTCAGTCCATTATGTCGGTAAACTATGTCAACTAAGTTTGTGAAGGTTCACCCAACTTCCCATTTGGCACAGGCACAAATAAAAATTTCTTCACAATTTGTAAAATTTGGGAAAGGAAATACTGGATCAAAACTGTTGTTGTATTTGGAGATCATTTATGTTCAATTGTCATATTATGCTTTTTATTCTATTTTCTTCTGAAGGCAGTGAATCATATAACAAGAGATCACAGGTGAGGTGCTAATGAAGACAGTCCTTCAGACCATTGAGGTAATGGCATTATTTGCACATCATTTAATTTTAAATGTAATTTATATAATAAAATATGCAGTTTTATGATACATGTTCACAGTGACAAATTTAGCAAGCAGAGCAGAATAGCCCTTTGTCCACATCAATGAATGCCCTTCATAGAGTGACAACGTTCACTGTCGTGTCAGAGAACAAGGGTGCAGTGTGACAGGTGGAGAGTGTTCTGTTTCCCAGTGCTATGTGAGAACAAAATGTTATCCCAATGTATCTTTTAGAATAGAAACTGTAAAAAATGGCGATTGTCCTATCAAATCATATGTCACTTCATTGGGCTTTTTTTCAAAAATATTTTCTGATAGCACATAGATTAAAACTTGAATTATTTTATACCAAATTATTTAGGCTGATACTGCACGGAAACAGGCCATTTGGCCCATCTATTCTGTGCCAGTATATATGCTTCACATGAGCCTAGTCCTCGCTCCTATACCTCTCTATTCCCTTCTCCTCATGTATGCATCACATTATCACAGATTGCAACATGAAGATAAATTGTGCCGCATTCATAAAGTGACCTCTATGCATTGTCTTTTTGCATCGGTTATAGCAGGAAGTACATCAAAAATTAATCATGTAATTCTCTAGCTTTACCTCTCGAGGATTATACCATCATTTCTACAGCACATACAAAAACAATGCAAGGTTGTCATCTTCTCACACGGTGGACGATTATCCTTGGTCTCTCTGAATATCCTCAATTGTGTTCCATAACAACCAGCATTGAATGTTCCCTTTCAGGATATCATTTTATTTAGAAAGATTTTAAATAGCACAAATATTTTTTGTCGGTGACAACATCACTTCTCCAATTAATCTACAGATTGATGTTACATTCCTTTACAATAATAAGCCTTTCATTTAATATAGCACCTATCACTCAATCTTAACAGACTCAAAATGGTACACAGGATATACTGTAAGGTATAGTGACTGTGTCTTTTGTAGGACAATGAACTAACATGCAAACACAAATAGCCTGATGTCTTACTCCAATAAGAATAACTACCTAACAAGCTTTCACTGGCTAAACAATCAATATCCTGCACTTCCCTGTGTCACAATGTTTTAGCTTGCACCTGCTGATATTATTCCACAAGGAGTCTATGATTGATAGGAAATCGGTAGAAATTTACAATTTTCTAAGAATGAAAAACAAAATTTGTCTATTGTACCTCAAACATCACAAAGAAAGTGAGCATTTTGACTGGCATGATTTGTTTTGTTTATGTGAAGGTAAAGTGTACAAAGATTGTTTCTGTGACCACTTTCCCAGTTACATAAATAATGAATCAAATATTGTAAGGAGATGTCAGCTTGGCTCAGCTGGTAGCACTCTAATCTCTGAGTCAGAGGGTTGTGGAATCAAGGCACATGTTGAATCTTTGAACTCACAGTCTAGGTTGACACTCCAATACAGTGCTTGCTGCATTGTTGTAAGTGTCATCCTTTGGATAGGATGTTAAATCAAGATCCAACTGCCAGTTCAGGTGGACGTTAAGAATCCTAAGGCACTATTCAAAAAGAGAAGGGAGTTTCTTCCTGGTATCCTGCACAACAATCCACCAAATAAAATGGGCCATTTACTTCATGGCTGTTTATAGGACCCTGCTGTGCGCAAATTAGCTGCAACATCTACCTACAAATACAGTCACTATAGTTTGCAACGTCTTGATGACATGATAAGGTACTATATGAAATGCAAGGATTATAAATTGTGATATGATGAGAAAGAACAGGAGTGGGGAAGTCAAACCATTAGCCAAACAGTGATAGGCTATAGAGATAGCAGTTAAATGCAAGACAAAAGACATTGTTTCAAAATGTGAAGTTGTGCTGACCTGGAGAACTATTTTGTCTTAAAATATAACATCACCCAGAATTGTGGAGATTTGGTAAATCAGTCTCAACTAAATTAATGTTGAATTTAAGACGTATCTGTAATCCTGTATTCTCTTAAAATGTACAACAAAATGGCTTTAAGGTTAAGAATAATTAGAATTTTAGCTGATTTGGGCTGAATTTGGGCTCTCCTGATTGGCTCCTGTCAGCGCCTCCTCACCTCAGGGGTTGACAGCATCACCATCCATGGCTGCACACTCCACCTCACTAAGCCAGTCCGGAACCTTGGGGTCTTGTTTGACCCTCAACTATCCTTTCTACCCCACATCTGCACCATGACTCTGCCTCCATCCACTTCTGCAAAGTCGCCCGGCTCTGCCACTGTCTCACACCGCAGGCCGCCAAAACCCTCATACACACCTTCATTACATCGAGGCTTGACTATGCAAACTCACTGCTTGTTGGCCTCCCCAACTCCTCCCTCCACAGGCTGCAGATCATCCAGAACAGCCTGTATCCTCTCCTGCACTAGGCTCCGCGGCCCTTTCACCCCCGTGGAGTCCTATAGCTCAGTGGTTAGAGCACTCGCCTTGCAAGCGAGACACCTGGGTTCAATTCACCCCTATCCTTGCCCAACTCCACTGGCTTCCCATCACACAGAGGATACAGTTCAAGATCCTAGAACTCACCATCAAAGCCCTCCACAGACTTGCTCTCCTCTACCTCTCTGACCTCCTAACCCCCTATCACCCTGTTTGCTCCCTCCGCTCTGCGGGCTCCGGCCTGCTTCACGTTCCCCGCCTCGCTTGACTCATTATCGGCAGGCGGGCCTTCCGCCACTCTGCACCCACCCTCTGGAACCCCATCCTGCTGTCCCTCCATCTTGCCCCCTCCTTTGCCATCTTCAATACCCACCTCAAGACCCTCCTCTTCGACCGTGCTCTTCGACACCAACCCCGACCCTCAGCTCGGGTCTGTCTGTCCAGCGCCTTGGGACATCCTCCTGACATGAAAGGCGCTATACAAATGTCATTTTGTTGTTGTTGTTGAATTTTACAGTTGTAAAAATGGTGCAAGTCAACAACTAAAGTGCCACATTTTGCTTTAGTTGCTACTTATTCTTTTTCAAATTACTCCTCAAACCAATTTTGTGTTTCAGAAATCGCTTGGTGAGTTGGAGAAAGATAAAGAAAGTCCAGGAGCTGATGCCTGACAGGCAGTTCATCAGACCAGCAGCACTCCTGCAGTCGATAGTGGAGACAGAAAGGAAGAATTGGGGTAATATATGGAAGTGGACCCACCCCGAGGATAATGTCACAGAAAACATTACAGACTGGCAACTATAATCAATAAAGTTATCAGTAAACAGAGAGTAGCACTCTTGATTTCTTCCACTGTACAGCGTACCTTGAGACTCTGATGAGCAACATCTGACAAACAGGATAATGGATTATTGGGAAGAATTTATATTTCAGTCCAGAAATTCTCATGATGTTGTGAACCACTGTATATTCTAAGGCTGAATGCTATATGAATGACAAGTGAAGCTCAGCATTGAATTACCGATATTAACTGCCTCCTCAGCATCTGGTATCTTACATAACTAATTGCAATTTTTAAAGTATGAATTAAGAATCAGCCTGTCCTACCCCTGGTGCGGTCTTGTGGAGCCATGATATGAAACACATTGTGAGTGAAATATATTATGACATTGTAATGGAAGTTAATATTGTCATATTTTTGATGGAAAACCACAATAGGATTATTATTTATGGCAGATTAGTGGAAAATACACATTTAGTACATATTAGATCATTCTGCTTACTTAGAGACAGTTGCAGTTTATTACTACTTTTGAATCTTTCAGTGTGAAAGTGCCCTTCCTAAAACCCACTGGGAATAAATGATATGAGTGTTCTCTGGTCTTTTCATTTAAGATATTGATTTCATTAATATTTGTTTAATTTCAGTTATCACTCAATGTTAATCATTGATAGTGTTGCAAAATTAAATAGCATATAGATGCATTGAGCTACCTGAGTATTTCATAATTGAAAACAGAAAGATTGACAATATAATAATAATAATCCTTGCATTTGATACAGCGCTTTTCATGTCTTCTCGACGTCTCAAAGTGCTTCACAGAATATGCTGTGAAGTGAATTGATCGTATATTTGTGGGCGAAACGTGGCAGCCAATTGCACACAGCAGTGTCCCACAAACAGTTGTGGATTGAAAATGACCAATTTATTATTGTTTTTTGTTTTGTAGGGATTATTATTAGGCACATGGAGTAAGGAAACTTGCCCAAGGTTTCGCTCTGCCTGGAATTGAACCCAGGTATCTCGCTTGCAAAGCGAGTGCTGTAACCACTGAGCTACAGGACTCCGATTAATATGGAAGACTGCAACAATGAATTGTATAAAAGATTTGAGCTTTATTGTGCAACTAAATGTGAAGCTGAAACTTTTCTGTGCCTAAGCAGTTTATATAGTGGAAGCTGCCCTATGATTTCTGTTGTATCCACATCTCACAGTGTGCCCAAGTATAGTAAGAATTATCCTTGCATTTGGAACAGCACCTTTCACATCAGGAGGCCGTTGCAAACCTCTTCATGGCATTTTGCTACAAAGTGACTGTGTATTTTGTAGGCAAAAGTAGCAGCCAATTTGGGCTGTTGAGATATTAAACCGAGGTCCTATTTGCTTGATCAGATGGATATTAGAGATCCCATGACACTATTATAAAAGAGAAAGAAGTCTCTCGAAATGTCCTGGCCAATAATTTCCCCCCCACCCACATCCCCATCCTTCCAAAAATAAAATTGATCATTCACTTCATGGCTGTTTTGGAACATTGCTGTGCACGTTGTTGCCACAGTCACTCCATTTTGCAGTATATAGCGTGAAGCACTTTAAGATCTCTTCCTAACTTGAAGGGTGCTATACCAAATGTTAGGTATAGAACCCTTGTTGCTAATTTGTCTGAATCTTTTAAATGATTGTGTAAGTGTAATTTATTCAGTTTGGAACATCTTATGATGTCAACATTACCCTCAAGTTTCTTTCATTTTTGCTTTTGGATAAAATCACTATTAGATGTCAGCCTGACTCAGTCAGTAGCACATTCGGTTCTATCACAGATGATTGTGAGTTCAACCCCATCATCTGGACAAACATTCCAATACAGCTCTGGGGGTGTCTCATACTTTGGATGAGACATTAAACTGGGGTCCTGTCTGTCTGTTTAGGTGGACATTAAAGATCCCATTGCACTATTCAAAAAGAAAACTCACCTCCACTTGCTTCCTCAAATTTTGTACATAAATTTTAAAGAACATAAGTTTTTGCTTAAAAAAACTAATTATGATAATGCAAAATCTATGTTGTTTGAATTCTCCTGCATTTAAAGCTTGTCACAATCTATAACAGATTTTCCCCAATATTCAGGTAAATATTATTCATGTAACTATGCAGATAAATAGATATATTTTCTTTTGACTTGATTTTCTTAGGTTGCGGATCGAGGATCATGCCTTTGAATGGACTCCATATTGAATTGAAAAATCAATTCAGTTCAGATTGAACTAATTTGAATTTACTATTTAATTACAGTCAATAAAGCTAATGGCATGCTAGCCTTAATTACAAGTGGTCTGGAGATGAGTAAGGAGATAGTTCTACAGTTACGTAGTGCACTGGTCAGACCTCCTTTGGAGAACTATGTTCAGTTTTCGTCTCCCAATTATAGGAAGTTTATTCTTGTCTTGGAGGGTGTCCAGTGACAGTTCGTTAGACTGATAACTGGACTGAAGGGATTTAGCTAAGATGACAGGCTGGGTAGAATGGGATTTCTTATTGCAAATACTCCTGCTCCTACATGTTATGTTATGTTATTATATTCCTTAGAGAAGAGGAGGGAAAGGAGTGATTTGATCAGGTATTTAAAAACAAAGAATTTGATAGTTAGAGTGTGGATGGTTCTTCCCCTTAGTAAAAGGATCCTTTTCAATGGGATATAGGCTTAAAATCAAAACTAACAACAACAACCTGCATTTATATAGCACCCTTCACACAGGGTAGTGTCTCAGTGATTTAAGAACTAAGTTAGAGTTGAGGCCAGGAAGCATTTTGTCACGAATGTTTTGTGCATGACGCCTATACATGGAAATTCCAGAGATGTTTATTGGAATGGACTGTGCACTCTCTCCCCGGAAGGTCACATCCTGCTTATCCAATTCTGGAGCATGGCAAAAGCTTAGGCTTGGGAACTCCAGAGTGTGTGTAACTTCCACATGTATGCGGATGATACCCAACTCTACCTTTCCTCCTCTACTCTCAACTCCACGACCACCGATGTCCTGACAGCCTGCCTGTCCGACATCGAGTCATGGACGAGAGACAACTTTCTTCAGCTCAAAGTGCGAAAAACCGAGGCCCTCCTGATTGGTTCGCGTCAGCGCCTCCGCACCTCAGGCGCCGACACCATCAGCATCCAAGACTGCACTCTCCACCTCTCAAAACCAGTCAGGAACCTCAGCGTTTTGTTCGACCCTGAGCTGTCCTTTCTCCCTCACATCCGCACCACAACTGGCACCGCCTTCCATCACCTCCGGAACATCGCCAGACTACGGCATTACCCCACCCCTCACGCTGCTGAAACCCTGGTCCACGCCTTTGTCACCTCAAGGCTGGACTATGGGAACTCTCTCCTCGCCGGCCTTCCCGCCACCTCCCTCCACAAGCTGCAGGTCATTCAGAACTCTGCAGCTCGTGTACTGTCCCGCACCAGGCTTCGGGACCACATCACTCCCACCCTCGCTCGCCTCCACTGGCTTCCCATCCCCCAGAGGATTGATTTCAAGATCCTCATCCTCACCTACAAGGCCATTCACGGCCTTGCTCCCCCCTACCTCTCCAACCTACTATCCCCCTACCTACCTGCCCGTACCCTCCGTTCCTCCGGCTTCGGTCTGCTCCACGTCCCCCGCCCCAACCGCCCTACCATCGGTGGTCGGGCCTTCAGCCTCTCAGCCCCGAGGCTCTGGAACTCTATCCCCCAGTGCCTTCGCCTTGCTTCCTCCCTCTCCTCCTTCAAGGCCGGTCTCAAAACCTTTCTCTTTGACCGAGCCTTCAGCTCCCCTCTCGACTCTCTTCCCCCTCCTCGCTCTCTCCCTTCCCTCCCCTCACCTTGACCATTTCCCCCCTGCTCAGGTCATGACCCAACTGTACAGCGCCTTGGGACGTCCTCCTGACGTGAAAGGCGCTTTATAAATGGAATCTTGTTGTTGTTGTTGTTGTTGTTGTTGTTGGGGTAATGCTGTAGCCTATCTAACTAAAACAGCTTGCCATTGAGAGCACTGCCTAACAAGCTTTCCCACTGCTTGTAACAGGTCTGCCTTTCCAGGTCTTGCCATTGAGCCAGCCTGACTGTATGGTCATCAGTAGTGCCATGGAGTACTGCGGACCCACATAACTCAAGAATTAGATGACCGAGACTGCTACAGAGAGTGCAATATGGACTTCCTTGCTGAAGTCCTGGAATGCATTGTTTCAGGTCAACTTCGGTCACACCTCTACTTCCACTCCTTCCCCGAGCTCCTGCAGTCTGGTTTTTGCTCTGCTCACAGCACGAAGACAGCACTTGTCAAAGTCACAAACGACATCCTCTCTATCTGTAACCTGCTCCCTCTGCAGCCTCATGCTCCTGAATCTCTCTGCTGCGTTCACACAATCAACCACATCATCCTTCTCCACCACATCTCCTCCCTCAGCCAACTTAGTGGGACTGCACTCGCAGTGTTTGAGTCCTACTTAACCAACCGCCTCTATTTCATCTCGGCAAATGGTTTCCCTTCCTGCCCCCACCCAGTTACCTGTGGGGTACCCCAGGGCTCCATCCTTGGCCCTCTTTTTTTCCTTATCTATATGCTCCCTCTTGGTGATTTCATCCGCAGACACGGGGTAAACTTCCACATGTATGCGGATGACACACAAATCTGCCTCCTCCAGCATCGACTCCAGGTCCGTCGATGTTCTATCAGCTTATCTGGCAGACCCTGGTTGAGTGCAAACTTCCTGCTGAATGTGGACAAGTTGGAATCCATACTCTTTGGCTCCCGTCAGTGTCTTCGCTCCTGCGAATCTAAACTCCTCAAGATCCTTTGGAATTCTAAGATCTGTCAAGGTCTAATAAACTGGTGGAACAGGCTTGATGGGTTGGTTATCCTGTGTTTTATTTGAAGATCCTCACACTTGTTTTCAAATCCCTTCAAACCCTGGCACCTCCCTACCTCTCCAAAATGCTTACCCCACAACCCACAACCTGCTGATTCCGCTCGACTGGGTCAGGCCTTCTGCATG